AAAAAGGATACTGCTCAAAGTGATAATCTCCTGAGTTATTAAATATTTGAATAAAAGGAATAGATTACTGAGGTCTGAAGGAGTTATGAAAGACTTTCTTCAAGATGAAAGGACAAATGAGGGAAAAGTGAAGACACACAAAAAAGGAAAATAAAGAGGACTATACAATTAGTGATAAAAGAAAAGTGTCATTTTTAGAGTGTTTCAATTTGCTCTAAATTAAAACCATAACAGTCAAATGAGCCCTGGTAGGTACTGTAGGGTAAGCACTGGATTGTTAACAACAAGGTTGGCGGTTTGAGCCAACCAGCTGCTCTGTGGGAGAAAGATGAGGCTTTCAACTCCCATGAAGATTACAGCCTCAGAAACTCTATACAAAGTCACTAAGAGTCAGAACCAACTCTGATGGTACCTAACAACAACAAAGGATCAAAACCATTCTTCTTAAATACAACCTCCCTATTTGCTCCAGGTGTCAGGTTTTCTGCTTTGGCCTCAGGACATTCTTCTGGGATTTAAAGGAGCTCTGGGCTGCCAACCTCAAGGTCAGCAGTTCAAAACTACCAGCAGTTCCACGGGAGAAAGATGAGGTGTTCTGCTCCCGTAAAGATTTACAGCCTCAGAAACCCTGTGCAGGGTCACTATGACTCGGAAGGAGTCCAGGGTACTTAACAACAAGAGGCCAATGTGAAGGATGTCAGGCAGAATCGTTAAACTGCATCATTTTTTCTAGATTCTAGGTTCCAAAAAAGACCAGAATGCACTTCTGTCAAGTCAATTCGGACTCATAGCAACCCTATAGGACAAAGTAGAACTGTCTCATAGAGTTCTGAATATTGTAAAGATTTACAGAAGCAGAATGCCACATCTTCCTCCCACATAGTAGCTGGTGGGTTCAAACTTCCAACCTTTTGGCTAACTGCTAAGTGCTTTTAACCACTGTGACACCAGGACTCCATTCTAGACTCACCCAACTCTTATTTAAGGTTGGGAGCTTACTGGCCCAGAGTCTTTGAAAAGATCCATCATGCCAGACTGAACACACAACCCAGCCAGTGGATGTAGACAGGTTTATAGGGTTTTTAAGACTAGCTCAAACCCCAGTGTTGACTTTTCTCAGTGTCACTTCTTCACCCAAATCTCTGGGGCAAGTATTCCTGAGATAAGTAGACAATACTCTTTCATTAACTGCCCCCCAGGTTTTTGGTCCACTTGTATCTTGATCTGGGGCTTATACCTCCATTTCTCACCACCACCATGACTACCTCTTCCCTCATGCCCATCTCCGTGAGCATCCCAGTTTCATGCAGAGAAATCTTGAGCTCCTTCTCCCAGCTCTTGAAACACCTTGTCTCCTTCACTCCTCTCCATTTGCCACCATGAACAATTACTTCCAGCTTCCCTGAACCCTAGGAAATCAACAACCACACACTTGACTGTCAGCAGGGTAAAAGTGCTTATCACACTGGGTTAGGCAAAAGAGGCCTAGGAGGATACCTCTTTTCCCTTCTCTGGCTCTCATGTTCCAAAACTCAGACACAACCACACTTACCCACATTCATCTGCACTATCACGCATACACGGTGCTGGGAGGTGGGGTAGGGAGGAAGGGAAGTGTGTACCAATCAGCTTATAAATGCAACTTGAAAGATTTCACACAGCAAAACGGGGGAAAAAAGCCATACACACATAATGGTTTTTTTTTAAGTTGGGTTTTTTTTTGTTTTTTTTTTTAATTTAA